TGTAAAAAAAATATATTTGTATAGTTATAGCGCAGCTGTTTATGGTATTTAAGACTTTCTACATTCTTCTGATGAAGCATTAGCATTTTTTAGCTTGAAATAGTCGCATGCAATGGCGACACTCTGTAAGGGGAAGTCCGAAGCCGTATTGCTACTGTTTAGATTAATAACATAATTTAACAATTAATAAACACTCTGCATGTAGATAATACAGTACTTTACTATAATAAAACATACATATTTATGTTAATTTAAGTCTAGCTTCCCATGCAGTGTTACAACAGAATGATGATTTGTTGACTTTTCATTGGATGTTTGTAGATTTTATGTAAACAGCCATGCAACTGTTGAAACTATATTTTATGCGAAACTGCTTTCATATTTATCTCGTAGCACTTATTTTTTATACATTTTCAGTGGAGCATGTCTTCAGACCTCGTAGCATTAACTTGTTTTGTAAGCTGATTGTGCTTCGTACAATATGTGTTGGCTTTTTATCTCATAAATTAGAACCCATCTTTTAAACATTCTGCGTATGGGCCTGTAAGTATTAACAGAATGTTTAGGAAAGCAAATTTCGACGTATAGTTTGAGGTTTGAAGAGGGAAGTTAATTCTAGAGTGTAGCATACTCAGGTAGTTGTGTATATTAATTATGTTCCATCCCACGGTTCCAAGTACAGAATGTCGTCTATGTAGCGATACCAAGCTTCAGGACCAGTTACAAGTACAGAATGTCATCAAAAAAAAAAATACTCGCGAATACAGAAACCCTGGAATCTAATGGTCTTCCGAAGATTCGTAAAACAAATTTCCCTGTAAAGCCTATTGTTTAAGCATATGGATCACCCATGGAAGGGTTGCCATGTTTAATGGAAAAACTTTTACGAGGACTTTTAACTGTGGTACCTAGTCACTTATACAGTATCCAAGACTTCTTACAGAAGCTCACAAATGATCAGCTATACCTACAGACAAACAGGATTCAGTTTAGTTTTGATGTGCTTGAATAATAGTCATCCATAGTACCTGTTTCCTTCCAATACATTCTGCTGTTACTGAATGGTGGTAAAATACACACATCTTTATACAGGATAATTCCTAAGTAACCAATAATTTTATACTTTGAATAATAGAACTCTTAAAATAAAATCCTGATACAATAGACTTTCTGCGATTATCTATTAATTTAATTGAAGCGGCCATTCGTTGTATTCGT